ATGAGCACTAAAGTACTGTTATAATGACGGACAATTCGAACCAATCAAAATAAAAAATCACCACGCCTCACTCTAGGTGCATACACTGAACACGCATTAACTTTTTTTATCGGAAGTAAATGACTCTTCCGGTAAAAAAAGAGAAACATAAATCCCAAGAAACTATGGGAAAAGTTCGTATACCACGAAAGGTGGCGATCGTGTGCGCATCTACACCGTTATTTATTGCCATAAATAACACTTCCCCTCTAGATGGTCACAACACTGATTATCCATAAGTATGACATTTCACGAATAACATTTGACATTATCAAACAGATGTCGTCCACATTCCTACCTTTTGTAACAAAGACTGCTAACATTCATTCGATGGTACATGCTCCGCTCTACCGTTGATAGTTCCCAATAAATATTTTGCTAGATTATTTTTTTGTTCAAGTACTTTGTTCTTAGTTTTGCTTGTGCAGCTTTTGCCATTATGATAATGTTTATGCTATCTGTCTTTATTACCATCTCATTCTCCACATCGAGTCCGATCTCATCGAATATTTCCTTGAACCAGATTAGTTCCTCAAGTACACTTGTAAACGCATTTAATTCGTATTCTGTTGACGATTTTGCAACAAGCGATTGCTTTTTAAATTACCAATGTAATACATTATCTCCGCACATTATCAGGTATCCAGTAAAGGACTTGGCATCTTGCGTCCTCTCCCACAATATGACTGTGTATGCTGTCAGTTGTCGATTCCATCTTCTGTAATGGAGTACTACATAGTTCTCCATTTTCTTTAGGTATCGAATTGCTCTTTTCACAGAAGTTAGGTGTATAACTCGACGGTTTTGGTTGAATTTGACAAATAGCACACTTAAGCATACATTCGATCTTGAGTTCATTGTTAGGTACAATAGCTTCTCGATGAGTCATTGGTAGAGTGTGCTGTCTACTTTGTTACTCTCTTTGTTGTGTCCAATAATAACTAACTTTTTTCTGTATCACTAAACAACCTATCGCGTACCCCTGGGGGTACGCGTACCCCAAGTAGGGAATCGCTGCTCTAAATCGTGTCGTTGACGTATGTTCCCAGTAAGATGATAGTCTGTTTTGTCACAGTGTAATACAGACAAGAATCTAATTTTGAATGTTTCCACCGCGCATTTAACAACACTTTGTGTAAGTAGTAGTTTCAGCATTTTCCGGCTTCTTTTAAACTTTATCAGGTTCGTTGTAAGCGACCATTTCTATCCATAGTATTCAATCCAGGCAGTTTGTTCATGTAGATCATTTCGTTCAATTTCCTATGTAGGAATGTTGACTTCACGTCGTGTGCCTCTGCCTTTATTCCCAATTGCAATGCTATATAAATTAGTAATGGCCATGTTTATTTTTGCATCATTGGCGAAAATGTGTGATCATATTCCGTTCTGGTCGCTGGGCACAACCCATAGCTACTAGTCTAGCTCCAACTCTATTCACCTTCCCTATTTCGTCTGTTTAATCTTGAACACATTTTGATTTTATGGATTTTGCTCCTTCGGGTAGTTTTCGTCAATTTTCACACTGTTTTTCCATGCTCTTCAATCCGTCACCTGTATCAAATTTTCAGCTGGCGATGACTTAATAGCTTTCTCATAGGCCTTGGCTCTATCCTTTCTCTAATGTAATGGGGTCGTCTCAGTTTGACAATGAGTGACAATAATCTATCAATATAAGATTACATTTTTCAGAAGATTGACTTATCAAAAACAGTTACAACTTTCGTTCAAATAAAATAAAATGCAATTATCTTAAATCTGATAATAAAGAGGTTTTGAGAAAGTGCTGTATATCATTAAAATATACTGTACTGTATAAACCTGAATGTCTTTTCTTATATACACTGGCAGAAATTGAAAATGTTACACCCAGATGGAATTGGTGGAAATTCACAAAACTTGGTAAATATCTAAAGGGGCATACCCAGAAGAAATAAACACAAAATAAAATTAATTACGCAAAGTTTTATTGCTGTTTGGTACATGTTTCAGTAAGCAGTATGCCCACCTTGAACAAGGATACACTTTTGGATCTTTGCAGGCATTGAATCAATAAGTGCTGGAATATCTTGTTTGGGTATATCTCTTTATGCTTGCACAACTTGTGCAGTCAGTTGTTGTACAGTGCGCGCTGGGTGGCTATGAGACGTAATCTCTCTACCTATGGCATCCAAATACATGCTCTATAGGGGATAAATCCGGAGACCGGGCATGCCAATCCATGATTGCGATACTTTGCAAGATCTGTCTTGTGATGGCAGCAGCATGAGGACGGGCATTATCTGTTTGGAAGATACCGTTTCGAATGGTGTTCATGATAGGTATGGCTACCGGATGGATCACCCTGTCCACATACTGGCGAGCGGTCATTGTACCTTGAACAATCACCAACTCGGTCCTGCCATCGTAACTTATAGCCCACTAAATCAGGACACCAGGAGTTGGACCTGAGTGGCACTCTGAAATCAGAGCAGGGCGGGATCTTTCTTCAACACGCTGGTGGACACGTTGCTGATTATCACATTAGTTTAGACAGAATTGGAATTCATCACTAAACACAACTGTACCTTTTCCGCTGGACTTATTACACCATCAATTAGAAACAGGGCAATTTTTAGAAAATCACATTTTTATTTCTTAGAGTATGCATTTTGAACTTCGTGTCTCTTGTTGGGGTCAGTGGAAGAGACAGCTCACACACTCGGCGTCCAGGTTAGGACCTCGGCAGATCACTAACCTAAAAGGACCATTTATACATCGACAAGCACGCACACAATCAATCGTATCGTTGTACATCATCCGGACACACTTAGCGCTATCATTACTGGCCTCTATGTCTGTCCATACCATTTCAATGCGTCTGAGTGAGGAACATTTGGTATCGTAGCGGCCATTATGTGTGCTGCCATTAACAGCTACCCACCATCACCCCCGTTTGGAGTGACGTCACTCCCGACGAGATTGGACCGCAACGAAATGGAACCTGGTCGTCTATAGCGACGAATTAGATTAAGTTTGGGCAATGGCGACGGCCGTGTTCGTGTCTGGAGGCCTCATGGTGAATGCTTCAATCCTGCCTATGCTTTGGAGTGGCACACCACCCATACAATCTGGGGTGTCATCAAATACGACAGCCGGCCATCTCTAGTAGTGATCCAAGGGACCTTGACAGCTTAATAGTTAGTGACTACCTGCAGGCACATGTGTTGTCTCTCATGGCAGAGCTCCCAAGAATCACTTTCCAACAAAACAATGTTTGACAACACACAGCAAGGGTATCACAAGACTTTCTCTCCCACATTGCCACATTTCCCTGGCCTGACCGATCATTTTTACCGATCGATCATGTCTTGGATCACCTGGGACGTAAAGTTGAACAGCCTAGGAGTTTGGACGAAGTACAGAACCGATTGCAGAAACTGTGGACTGAGATACTGCAGGACACTGTACGGCACCTGTATGTTCCCATGCCTGTCCATATCACGTCATGTATTCACGCTAGAGATGGCCCAACAAGATACTAGAACGGTCTTTCATTTATATTTTCTCCTACAATAAATGATCCTTTTGCTATCACTTTGTAATCACTTACTTATATCACCATTTTACTTATACGTGTACAATTTCGTTCGATTCCAACAACTCCTTGATGCACTAATTTTTATGACAATGGGTATATCTAGAATTTATTATTTATTATTATTACGTATTATTTAGAATATGGAATTTCTGCGACAAGATCTGACAGCCATTATTTTATCTAAATATATAAAATTACTTGTCCTGACTGACTGAGTCACTGATTGATTCATCATCGCCCAGAGCAAACCGCTAAACCTAAAGAGGTGAAATTTGGTACACAGTTAGGGTACATCATGAAAACGTACACTAAGAAGGGATTTTTCAAAATCCCCCAGGGGAAAGAGGGAGAGGATTAAGGCTTAACCGGAAAAACGGCTTCTACTGTACTATTTTAGATGCGATTTTTTGTTTTTATCTGCGTTTTAGTAGGGTATGCCATGAGAATGCACACTAAGAAGAGATTTTTCGAAATTCCCCCGCGGGCGGGAGAAAAAGAGAATTTAGTCTTCATCGAGTACTTAGGTGTATTAAATTAATAACATTTCACACATTGTTATAAATATTTTTATGTATTTCGATTTTAAAAATGTTTGAACCGTTTTAAATATTGGTTCGATTATAGAACGATTGTAAACGTTCCAGAAAATTGATCAAATTGAAAATAGTTCGTTTGATTCTCGGCAATTTTCATCATTCTCAGCAGTAGATGTTATATAACAATTACTATGGTTGTTGAAATACTGAATATAAATGGTGTTTGCTTGCAAAATCTGCGCGGGCAAAGCCGCTGGTAACAGCTAGTAGCTTTTAAAAATGCTATTTATGTATTTGCAGTTTTTCATCATTTATTAAAAGATTGCAATGTTAAATTCTGGTGCGAATTAACTTATTCTGTCTAGTGGTCACGGAGAAGGACGCTAGTTTTCATAACTATCGTGGCTTCCATGAGACCCACAATGAGGGCTGCCAGGCGGTGAAGAACGGGGCCCTGACATATCTATGAAAGATTACCCGTGAAAAATTCCTAGGAAGTTGCTCACCCAAATTCGATTCTGAGCCAATGAGGAAGCTGAAGCCCTAATCGCCTCGTTCATCGAGCATAAAACAGTGATCTGAAAAAGGAGTTTTTGAAGACCGAATTACCTTTTGTTATGAAAAAAAGAATATAACATCAAAAGTGCTCAGCAAGTAATAGTAAACAGAAAATAACACACCTTAATTTGTTGCTGAGAAAAATAATTGAAAAACTAACGTTTTCAGCCTGATTAACAGGCCATCATCAGGTCCAAAAAGGGGACCTAGAGGAACTAGCTAGCCTGGTATGCCGTCAATCTTGTTTTACTTTTTGTGGTCGAATATACAGGCAGAAAAGAGGAGTTCCGATGGGAAGTCCCCTCTCTGGAATTCTTTGCGAGTTAGTAGTTAGAAGATTAGAAAGGGGAGTTCTACGTAATTTTAAGGAAGATATCATACATTTCGTTAGATATGTGGATGACATTTTTATATTATGGAGAAATAATAGTAGGATACATGAATTTTTGAATAGAATCAATAACAACAAAGATGGTCTTAGGTTAAAATTAGAGCAAAAAAGTTCCTTGAATGTGCATTTCTTGGACATTAATATCAAATTCATGGAAGATCATTTGTCCATCAGCGTATATGTTAAACCTACTCACACCCCGCTATATATACCAGCACAGTCCATGGATACATATCGATATAAAATGGCCTCATTTCAAACTTTGATAAGAAGAGCTTATTTGTATTGTGATAGAATCGGTGACAGGAATAAAGAAACTGATATGATATTGCAAGTAGCCAGGACCCTAGGTTACAAGAAAAGCACCATTGTAGAGTTACTCAAGAAATATGAAAGGAACAAAGAGAGAAAAGGTTTAAATACCGCTCCCAATAGGCGTTGAAGTTTACGTATAATAGTAATTTGAACGGTGTTATGAAAAAAGTTGCTAATAGGAAACAAGCAAGAATGGTTTTAAAAAGAGCCCCAAATTTATATAAAATATTGAGGAATGATACAGATAGAATAAAAACAGAAGAAAAACCAGGTGTATATAAAGTTCCTTATGAGAACATCCAACTAGAAGTTAAGAAAGACTATATCGGCGTCACCAACAGGAGCTTGGGAGTAAGACTAAAAGAGCATAGATACAACGTAAGAAAAGGATCCAATGCTACAATTTTGTTGCAAATGTCGCAAGTCCAAGGTTCGGTGGTGAAATGGGACGAAGCAAAAATTATAAAACCTGTATCTTCCCCCACTTTATCAATGACGGCAGAAGATTGAAATATATAGGAGTAGGCTATGTGAGGGATATTTAAACGCGAGAGATGCTGAGAGCCTGTCGTCAGCGTGGAAGTACATGATTAAAAAGCTCACTAAAGACTCAAGCTAGAATTAGTTTATTGAAAGATTTATTATATTTTTTATTTTATTTTGTGTTAAGTTTATATATTCTTCTGTTTCTCTTGTATATTTTTAAAAATTTTTGTTCGAAATTTTGATTTGAATATTTGTATTCTATACATAGAACGTATCTGTCCCATTTTCGTTTTTTGGACCTGATGATGGCCTGTTAATCAGGCTGAAAACGTTAGTTTTTCAATTATTTTTCTCAGCAACAAATTATGGTGTGTTATTTTCTGTGAAAAGAATATAACTTTTGGGTTTCATGAATTTTCTTAATTCATGATATACTACAGCACAATGAATAACCATTTTTGAAATTAAGGAATTTGGAGTACTCCAAGAGGTGTTCATATTTTACAAAGCAAACATTAAATCCATGGCCGCATGTGAAAAAATTGAAAATTGAATATAAATAAAATGGAAATCACGATTTTGATAAAACAATAAAAAGATTTGTTGACAACCTAACTAGGAAATTTCTTTGAAATCATTTGGAAATTGTTCTTATACGTGGAATTTACTACAAATTGCAAACAAATTGTACCTATTCATATTACCGGATCTAGTAAAAATTGTTGTAAATTATCAATAGAATATTTCATAATGTAAATTTTCGATAAAGCTAGTGAAGTGGATCTCTATGGTCATATTATTATAGTTTCTGGTATGGATTCAAACAAAAAATAATTTTGGAGTTATTTATAAATTTCTGCGACAAATTTTGACAGAACCATTGTTTTTATGTAATAAAAATGGTTTTTTTTTTTGTATTTGCAGTTCTAGTTCTTCGTTTATTAAAAAGTTCCCAACGTTAATTTTGAATATAATTTGCTGAAATTTATAGTAAATAATGAACGCTTGCCGTCTGCAGTAATATCTCAAAATGTATTGTAGATAAGCCTATATAGAAAATACTGAATATGACTAGTGGCTTAGTGGTTTATTTCACTTAAGCAGAAGTTATGTTTACACTTTCCATTTTGAAAAAAAATAATATTGGCTTGCGATAAATCCTTTCTAGTAAAAACTGATACAGGATTGAAATGCAATGTGAAATATTGTTATCAGATGCTTTTTTCCGGCTATGAAACATCAGAATGAAATGAATAATATTGAAAAACTTACCTCTTTGAAAAGTTTATTAATATTATCAAGAAATAAAAACTGATTCAGATGAATAATAATATTTAAATACTGAATCATTCTTGACAACATTATCATTTATCAAATTATCAGAAAATGCATTTTTAAAATATTATGGTCATTTATAAGAATCCCGTTCTTCCCAAGACGACTTAAAAATATATCTGAAATTTGAGTAAGATAAGAGCGAATTCTACTTGTTTTAACTTCTTTAAAAAGCAATTCATCTGTATTTCACAATCTTACATATAAATGATCTAAAAATACGATTTCATTTCGTGATAGTGAAATAACGACAAACATTAATTAAAATGAGAAGTATATTGGTATAGTAAAAGTTTGGTTATTTTTTTTAATTACAAGAATCTTCTTATAATTATAAAATGCTAACTAAATTAATATGCTAATAGTTTGTTATTTGAAAAATTTTTCGTAAAGCACTGTAATTATAAAAGTACAAAAATAAACGACAATTACACCAGCAATGTAATTCACAGATAGGCCTAATGTTGTACATTGGAAAGAATACGCCAGCAGTAATGAGAACAAAACGGTTATTTCAGTCTTGTCAAACTGTCGAAATAAAAACCCAAATTTTAGGATGAATCTAACTACTAGAAAAACTATTGAAACGCAACTCTGAACGGAGACCACAATAAAAATTATCTGACAAACATTTGGCAATGAATTAGTATCTGTTGGATGTCGCTATTGAGTCCCAATGAAGTGTTTGCCATTAACTCGATACCATTAACTGTTAAGACTTAAATAGTGTAGAGATCGTCTATCGTGGACAAATGAATGGAGTCCAGTTATATTCAGTAACGATTCTCGGTTTTGTTTGAATGAGTATAATAAAAAGAAAGAATTAAAAATAAAAATCGGTTATATGACATAATGGAGTTAATTCGTATTTGTTCAACAACATTCTTGCAACTTCTAGTTTAAAATACTATCAGTTATAATAGCTAATCAGACTTGATTTACATGGACGGTACAACAAATATCAGCAATATATATATATATGGATCATAGGTAAACTCAGTGGGATATCTTATAAGTCCATTTGAAAATTGGATTTTTCAACAAGACTCACTGCTCGCTCTCATATTAGACTTATCAAGGCGTTCTCTTGAAACAATTAAAACAATAGGCTAACCAGCCAGGTCGTTGATTTGTCCCCATTTTAACTTATATAAAGCTTTACGCAGCTAGAGAGTACAGTACAAAGTGTGGTCTATCATAATATGAAGGAATATAAGCAGATACGTAGAGATATTCTTCAAGAAGACATTTAACAACTTTCCAAATTAATGCAATAATAGCATGAAAGCCGCATCACATTCTTTTATGTGATTTTGCACTATGAATTTCAGTGAATATCTTTAATTAATTAATAAATCTGTTTTTTATGTGTGAATCTAAGAGACTAAATTTCATAAGCATAGAAAAGAGATTTAAGCATTTTATTTTTAATCTAAGCCAGAGATGCTTTAAATTAAAAGACAAAATCTTCATATTAATTTATTAAAAATTAAAATTCAAAGTAAAAAATCTTAAATAAATTTCTCATTAATGTTTAAAAATTGTTTATTCTCATCGTAAATATGCTATAAAGTAAAAGTCAATTTCAATAATATCATAGACTACAGTTAGCTTTATTCTTACATCTTTGAGGTCCTGGATAGAGTCCGAGTCTCTTTAAACGTAAGAAAAATTCAATTCATTTGATAAAATATTTTGTTATAAAAAATGTACGAATTAGACCTGTCGCGAAGTACCAAATAAACAGTACGGTCGACCCCGTTAGTTCACGAGTTGTCGTGAACTAACGGGTTGGAATTCTTTAGAATGTCGATCGGAAAGATCGAGCTTTGACTCTGACGCTCTTAGACATGACAGAATTTAGAAATAAACAAGAAAATGTAGCATTTCTTTAAAAGAAAAACTATCGTGTTGTAAGTTATAAAGACACAAAATAATTCTTAGATGTCTGGAAAGAAAATATCATCGCGCGAGATACGAGCGAAAGTTTTCAAGTTCGACCAACACTTTCGGACCAAGTCGAACGAAGGTGTCAAATTGATTAACGCAGAGTGGACTTTTCCGTGCCCGATTTCGTTGTGTAATTTCACCTAGAAACAGGAAAGGGAACAATCGGAACGTGGAGAGAGAAATTCGGGACCAATGAAATTCAGAATTTCGGGGGGAAATCCTTTATAAACCAGAGATTCAAGGACTAAGGTAGTCGCTTCTTTCTTCTTCAACCTGTTTTTCCTCTGTGCCTGTTCCCCTGTATTTTGTTTTCATCTTCCTAGTTTCACCTACGTTCCGCCGCTCTACGCCGACTTCCAGCCAGTTTTTTTCCCGGAACCGCCGATTGCCATCGAAACTTGGTCCGATCGCCATCAGATCGTGTGGATAAAGTTTGTGACCATAGACTGAACTTTCTAAGTATCTGTTTAAGAGAAGAAATTCTCGACCGAAATTGTGTAATCATCGTCTTTCCAAATAAACAGCTTGTATTGTAAAGGAAACTGTCTCACAAGTCATTGTTCGACAACCACATCCACATTACGTTCGCTCATCTTGATAGGGATAAAAAGGGGGGTTAAACCCTGTCGGGATAAAGGGGAGGTAAATCCCTATCGGGAAATTTCACACATTCTAATAAAAGAATTTGTCAATTTGTTTTAACTTAAGAAGGAAAACATCATTATTATCGAATTGGAATTTGATTCCGGTATCTTATTTACAAAGAACAAGCTTACTAATCTCTTTCAAGAAAAGTAATCTTAAAGATATTCATAAATTACATTCTAAATATAATCCAATTCCGAGTTATATATAGTGAAGTATGAAATATTTTTTGAAATGGCGCGTTGGCGAAGCCTCTTGTATGCGGCTTACAGAATTGTGTTCGTTCTCAAAATGTGATCGATCGAATTTTATTAAACTTCCCCATTTTCCATTAATTTTGATGAGGAATAATAATAAAAAAATAAAATATGGAGATCCAGGATTTTGTTTTCCAGTTAGAATGGGGTCAAAGTGACAATCTCCATTCATTCTCCCAGACGCGACTTAGCGCGCTTAACAAAATTTAGCAGCAATAAATGAATAAAAACAGAATTGCGCGCGCCTAACGGAAAATTCGCGCCAAAAAGCAAACAAAGCAATTGAGGCCGAATGAATGTAAGGATCAACCCGTGCCCGACAAGAGTAGGAATCGCGATCCTTGCCCAAAAATTGCAAGGATCCGACAATTATAAGTATTGCCTTCTCTTGTGATTTTCAGCCATTTTCTTCTAATTACAAAACACATACTCTCTCGCTTTCTCTTTCATTCTCACACAAACATCTATGTTAAGTTCGATATACAATTAAACAAAATTGTAACACATGGCAGGTGTGTGTATGTTATCGGGCGTTGAATTGTCATTTGTCACACGTGTCAGGTGGGTTGATGTAATCGTATCTCTAAGAATGCAGGGTGAGATTGTCCCGCCTAGAGAGGGAGAAATTGTGCTCTTCCCTTTGGTGTGCTGACAAGGGTGTTGACCAGTGTGTGTAGCTGCGTGGCTGGTCAAGAACCAGTGTTGTGATTATAAAATACAGTCGACCCCCAATAACACGGTAGATACGTTCCGTTCTTTATGAAATTGATATTCTACGAGTCCTTAAATACATGAGCCAATCACAGCCCGGCACGTATGCAGTTTACGGACTACGGCTGTTTGAAAGGTTTCCTTCCATAAAATTAACCGATTCTAGACTAATTCGACTCAACATTTTCAAAACACGTGTAATATTTTGGGAATAATCCGTATAAACTATGCTAAAAACAAAAAATTGTAGGATTACTTACCGAGTGTGCACCGTTCGACGATACCATTGCTTAAGCTTGTTTTCGTCGTGGACGGCGCATCGAATGGGGGCGCGCGTTTCCTGATAAATTATTTTTCTGCGAAAAATTTGCTGAAATTTGGAGACATCATTAATATAAATATAATTTTTATGGCCGTTAAATAATATTGATAAATGAGTAGGTCTGCTGCTCGTTTAAACTCAATGGTTTGTGCAATATCCGCTATTGTCTAGATTTGACCAATCCTGTCGCGACACGAGTCGGCGATGACGTTTTACCGTTATATAGGAGTCTCTTTTAGCGTGTTTATACGAATACGGTCGCAATTTTTTCGCCGTTATACACGAATCCGAATTATATCAACTTGTTTTATAAGGGGGTCTACTGTAATTGTCGGGTGCTGAATGTTGCTCGCTTGTTTGAGAAATTAAAGTTCAAATTGTGTTGTTATGTTATAAAGGAACTGTGTATTGTTTTTAGACCGTGTAGACAGGAACATTTTACATCATCATTTTTACAATCTATAAGTACATACATATCCTTACAAATTCAAACACGCGTGAGTGCTGGGGTTAGGTGAATCGAAATATAATTTATATGTAATAATATTATTTTAAAATTTACTAATTAAAAATTTTTAATTACAAAATGCAACGCTCCAGTTGAATTCTATCGCGATCAACACAGACTGGCAAGGTTTTCTTAGTTTAATGTAAAAAGTATTAATTCAATTAAAAATTATTGAAGCTTTTTACAAATATTTCAATATCCATATTCAATACAAAAATTTTTTTTGTTTTCCATAATTAACATTTTCTAAAATAATTTACATATTGTAAATAAGCTCAATATGCATTAGAAAAAATCAAAACAAAAATAAATAATTTTTTAAAAGAGTGATTTAGAAAATGAATCTGTAAATTTATTTTTCATTTATCTTTTATTTTTTTGATTTTTTAAATATCAGAGTTTTTTTACATAAAAACGCCAATTAGTATTTTAAGAAGATTTTAAACGTTAACTTAAAATCGATTGAACAAAATACAAAATTTAAATCTGAGGGATAGTCAGAAATTACGGGTGATTACGATTTTTCATGCAACTTTAATACCTTTCGATGTTCACAAGATAAATTAGTGCTGTAAATGCCATATAAAATCTTAATTCCTAAAGTTTTTGTACATTAGTGTTGTTGGTATTTTTTAATTTTAATTTATTTTCACTTTCTTCAACAGATTGAAAATGGCGAAAATAGAAAAAAAGCTTATTGCTCAATTGAAATCCATAACAGCTGTGATGTGGAACCAAACTTTAGTAATAAACCTTTTATGTGCCGTTTACAATGTATTTTTATCATTTTTACATCCAAAGTTATTAGATTTTTAAACTTGGATAAAGGCTTAGAATTATTCTGTATGTGATTCAACATGAAATTTGATTAATAGATTAATGGATTTTTAACTAAAATAAAGAGAAACTTCACAAATCAATATTTCATCAGAATTTCTGTAGCCGAATAGAGTTTAATGATAAAATATTTATCCTTTAATCGAAACTTTTTAATATTAATTTTAAAGAGGCACTTTTTATTATAAACTTACATTTCCTGATAATAAACCGGTATATAGTTTAAATCTCTAAAGTAAAAATGAATTTTTAATTTAAATTTATTTTACAAATAGTTTGAAAAAATCTAACGAAATGAAAATTATTGAATTAAAATAAATGAGAAATCTAATGTAGGGGAGATCGGGGCAAGATCGGCATGTTAAGCTTTAGTTAAATTTTGTGTAATAAATACTGCTGTAAACTGAAAAAAAGCTTTGCATATTGTCTATTGGAATGTTACCTTACTATAGAACTGGTTAAAATCAGTTTGGAAATAAAAATAATTAAAATAATTACAACTTTACAAGAAGAGAGAAATTGACGAAGTTGCCCCGGGTATAGGGGCAAGATCGGCAACTTCTCTCTTTTTGTAAAGTTGTAATTATTTTAATTATTTTTATTAAAGTTGCCCCTGGTATAGGGGCAACAGTAATGGGGCAAGATAGGCACGTATATAAAATTATGTTATTAACAATGTATAAGTTGGAATTCACTATTAAAACAAAGAAATACAAATCCAACACCCATTTAATATTATTACAACGAAATGCAAGTTCAAAGACATATATACATGAATAACAAATGCAAACATGTTTTCATTTATCATCTGTTTGATTTTTATCCTTTGCTTCTAATGTGGCTTTATGTTGCCGATCTTACCCCGCTAGTCATGATTTCGAAACATTAAGTACAACCCTGAGAACAGAATGCCAAGCCACGATCTGGCCACGTGAATAAGTTGAAGTTACATCCTTCTAACAGGAAAAGTAACTTTCGTTATCATGGAATTATAACAAAACCTGCCAATTCAATATAAATGGAAAAAAAATATTATATGGAATTGAACGAAAATGAAAATTTGCTTGATAATTCAACTACGCTTGTTGGAGAACAATAAAAACACTACACTCAACAAGCCACTAATAAAACTCAACTGCCTAACCTATAACCAAAGTCTCCTTTTAATTTGTTTTAAAAAAAAAAGCGCTTGACAAACTTGCCCCGCTTGCCGAAGTTGCCCCGATCTCCCCTAAACAAAATTCCGGTAATTTACGTTTGAATAAAATCTATTTATATCTGAAAGAAAAGCGGATTGTGATCACCGTATTGCTTAGTAATAAGCGATATCCTAAATACATTTCAAAGAAGTTTGTTATTTTTTGTTTAAGATGAAATTAAGAAATAAATTTAACAATTTAAAAGCATGAAAATAAGTTTTCTTGTTCACTCCTATTTCGTCCATTAAAAACTAATAGATGAATAGATTTCTTCATTCCGTAGGCGAGGTCAAATGCAGGCGCTTTGCCAGCACCTCTATATTTGAATCAGATAAAAGAAGGAAAGATTCCTTTTCTGCTCCTAAGGATGCTTTACTTCAGCCTGTTCAAAAGAAAGCTCTATATCTGGATTTCCTAGATGAAGAAGTTTATTCTCAGAAGGGAGATAAAACCAGAAAAGGGTCTAAAAAGAAAAACAAAAAACATTCCAAATTTATTAAGAAACAGAAAAACCCAAAATTTAGATCTTTTTGTAAAATAACTTGATACCAGAAAAATGTAAATAAATTTTTATTTAAATAAGTGATAAAAATGATATATTTATAACTAAATAAAAATCCTATTTTGAAGGATCTAAGATGGATTAGGCTTCACTTCATTTCTCCGAGGCCCTATTTGTAGTGATAATGCTTCTATTATTTTTTGATAGCCTACACTATATAGAAGTTGTACTTTTCAATATAAATTGCAACTGATAGGAAAGTTATAGCGTTGAAAGTGAAACTAATTAACAGATAACAAAGAATGATAACAGAAAAGATAGCCAGAAGCATTTTACCTAATAAATGTAATTAACTGTATTTGAAATTAAATAATCTATTAAGAAAATTAAATTAAAATATTCTATTTATAAACTCATATATGAATATAATGTTTATTTATTTAAAATATTATCATGTACATAAAATGAATTAATTTAAAACTTTACTAACAGATGGCAGGACAGTCTCTGTATTTTACATCAGAAATTCATTTTAAATTGGTATTTTTTTAAACTTCTTTTTCGAAAACATTTTCTAAAATTTAAAGAATATTTTAACAAAATATGGTTGATTTGAATAAATCCAGTAATATTAATTTCAAGTTAAAAATTATTTCTAACATATAATTAGCCCACGAACTACAGTTTGAGAAACATTACCTACATTCTACAATCAAAATCTTTACTTAATTTTTTGATTAAAAAAAATTATACGGCAACTTGAGTTCATTTTAAAAAATAATTTCAAATAAATATACATATATATAAACTAAAACACGAATATTTTATATTTAATGAATTTAATCATATATTTATTAATTAAATACTTAAAATCAAATGTAAATTCACTTTGATTTATGTAAATTAAAATATAGATATACCGGTATATATTTAAATTTAAAGAATATTTTTTTAAACAAAAATGTTGAAAACAATTATAGTTTATGAATTTCTAACGTTTTTTTTAAACGTTACGTCTTTAACTATTGAACTAATCTATAATAATAATATAAAAAAAAGGCTTTAAGTTAAAATCTCTAGTAATTGCTTTTGTTACGTGAAAAGTCTTACTTGAAATCATGTCAACCATCATTATTAAAATCTGAAAACTACAGGATAAATTATATCAGATAAATTCGTGAAAAAAACATCATTATCACTCAGCTTATACTAGGGAAATTTTAAAGAAATTTATCTATATAAGCGGTAAAAATATCTACTTTAATTAATTAAGAGCTTTTTATAAATATTTTAATAATTTTATTAATAATATAATAAAAAATTTTACGTTATTTGCTTCAACAGCAGAAGAATGTTTAATTCTCTTATCACTCTTATTATTTTTTGTAAGAAAATCAAAATTCTTCTTTACTTATTTCTTTTTAAAGTATAAAAATATTTTATGTTTTTTCTTAAGAAAATTGAAAATAAAAAGAAAAAAAGCACTGAAACAACTTAACTCAGTGGGAGAAAAATTAATTTCTATTAGAGCGAAAGTTTTTAATTATCTTTAAAATTCCGAGAATAAATAAAAAAAAATTTACATTTTTCTAAGTTTGTAAAAAATTTTATATTAAAAAACAACTATAAATTATTTATTATATAATAATTAAGCTGTATTAAATGAAAGGATTATAATTAACAGCTTTACTCGTTTTATATATCGCAAACAAGGTTTATTGAGTGAAAGTTTTCGAAAGAAACGTTACTTTGTCAGAAATCTGTTTGATGAATGCGATTTTGATGAAAGGAAAAGTTATGTAATAAACTAAACAAGTATGACATTCAATGAGGTCGTAAGGTCATCCGTTTGCACGGTTGACTATCTGTTAAAGGACACGAGAAACAGTTGTTGACAGTTCTACGTTGTTATGCAGTTTGCTTAAAGTAGTTATTGATTTACTACTCTTCTCTATCTTACAGTGGTATATTCATATCATTATAAATGGAAATTCCATTTTAAAAATGATATAATAATAATATCAGTTAAAAAATCTATCAGTCTTAAAATATTATATGTTATACTGTTAAAAACAAAGTGCTATTGTATTCGTTCTTTATATACATTATAATCTCTATCCTTAAAATATTAAGAAAATTTTATTTACTTTTTATATTATAAAATATTTTGTATTGTATAATATAAAATAGAATATTCTTTAAATAATTTTCTATGTAATTTATGTATTTGATTCTATATTCATTATATTTATTCACTTATTTATAATTATCTATAAAATATCAATGTACTCTACTGACTTAATATTATAAATATAGTATTTAACAATAATTTACTAATATAGATTGTTTAATATTTTAAATAGCTTATATTGAAACTTACATTTAATTCCAGTTATGTTTATTAATCTAGAAATTTTATCTTACTTGCATTTTAATCTCATCATCTTGTAATAAATCTAAAAGAATTGTTATCAAAATTCTTCTATTCTAATTTTTTATTTCAAATTAATTTAAATAATTATTCAGCTAGAATTATTCCAGATAAAAAATTAAATTGGTGTATATATAAAAATGCTCAAGCATTCATTATACAATATAAACTTTATAATTAAAGACATTTTAATGTAATATTAGAATTATGACAATTTTATCAAAACTTCTTTCATTATATTAAACTTTATATGAAAAAGTTTAAATATTTCATTAAATAAAATAGATGTAATAAATAATTATTATTAAATATATTAAAAAAATTAATTTATATTATTTAAACTTTATACGTTTAGTAAAATTTAAATACATTTAAATTAATATAATTTCATACGTGTTACCATCAAATTAATTAGTTTGACAACAATTCTGTTATATTTTCTAATATTTTCAATGTAAAAAAATGAGTCAGACAAACTTGAAACCAAACACGAAAATTATTTATAACATTCGTATCCTGTAAAAGTATCTCTCGTATTCTACGGAAAAATAACGAGGAGTCAATAATTCTAGAACGTTGCTAAGTTTGGATAACGTTATCATTTATTGTTGTATCGAACGTCTCGAGTGCATTGTACCGAATTATTTTCTATAATAAATTAAGATGGACAATAAATAAAGAGCAATAAGGAATGCTCAGCAATCCTGGGTGGCATTTATGAGTGAAAGAAAGTAAATGGTTTGTACTTGAACCAATGGTTATCTTCGTTTGCAAGCTAGATGGTTTGTAGTACTTATTTGTGTACATTCTTTTCAATTTATTATAGTAAATATTTCACTGAATTTTATTGTTTCAGTTAATATGCTTACATTGCATCTATTCGTCTCATTCTGTTTTCACGGTTAAGATTTAATGTAATAACGTTTCTACTAATTATACTAATAGCAAATGAAGGACTTTTGCACAGTAAAAAACGGAAATTCTTTTTGTAGAAATATTGATTTGTTAATGATAAGATATTATTATTTAATTGATATAATTTGTATCAGTCGAAGTAAGAATTCTATTCAAATTTTTATTGATTTGTAAAGTGAACTTTGTAGAACATTTAATTAAACAATGGAAACTCCTCTTTGTCTTCAATTTCCATATCGTGGAAATAATTAAAATAATTATAGAATAATAACTAATTAAAATGAAGTTATGTGAAGTATTAAATAAATCTTACAATCAGATAAAATTTTATATTTTAAAGGAACTCGCTGCAATTGTAATTTTTATACAGAAAACGAAAAAATATATATATATATATTGATACAATGCAGAACATTATTTACACTTGAATGTTTTTAGAAAAAGTTTAATTCGTCCCTTAAGACAGTAGGCATATCTTTTGTTAGAATTCTGTTAAAACATTCTTTCTTATATATGTATCTTCCAAGAAAAAAGATGTTAAACATCATCTGTTGTTTGATTTTTTGACGAAAAGAAGGGAAGAAATTTAAAGTTGAAATGTAAAACATGTTTCTCGACTACTTTTAGAAGTGTCTGTTAGTCAAACCACTTTGGATTCCTTCTTGATTTCCAGAACGTTTGTATTGCAAAGCTATACATTTTTCTTCAACAAAGTTGAAAGTTATTGTTTCAAGTCAGTTATCACTCGACAACGTGGATTTCAAATGTTTTCGTGCAGAAATTATTGACTCAACTGAGACTATAGCAACCAAATGTGATTATTTTAGAAAAAGATAAGAAGTATTTGGAATCTGTTGGTTTGTTTTATAAAGAATACGTGCGAACATTCGAAAAAATGTGCTTCATCACTTTCAGAATGAAATAAATGTAGACATAAAATGTGTTTTAAAAATATATGAAAGTAATATATTATAATTGAATGCAGAGAAATTAGTGAAAAGTTTAAGATAAAAAAAAATTAAGAAATTATACATTAACGTTGAAAATATTTTCTTTAAAACTGAAAATTTAAAATATTCGCATTTATCGATTTAATTTAAATAATTTAAATATATGTATATTTTTAAATCGAAAAAGAGTTTTCAAGTTTACTATTTTAAATCTCGTTTAAAAAATTTAAAAAATAAAATATAACGTTATAATATTTTTATATTTAAACAATTAAAATTTTTATAAAATAACCTTTTGTAAACGATTTATCATGGAAAAATCTGAATTATTTATTATATTATATGAGTTTATATTATTTAATTTTGCACACTAATCTACTAATTCTGATACAGTCTTAGAAATTTTGCATATGGATTATGTAATAAATCTCTCTATATATTTACCCTGCACATGGATCTTGTATGAAAAAACACATAGAAATGAAGAGGCGCTATTTGCTAAATAACGGCACTTTCTTCATTTTGTGGTAAATTCAGAATCAGTGGAGAGACACTCAGATGAAAACATATTAAACTGGTTAAGGTATCTTCCTTTAATCTGTGAATTAATGTACAAAAGTCTTTACATAGCAGTAGGACGAACGTCCGCACGTGTCGACAGACAGTAGTTCTAACAAAGGAACAGGTTAAGACTAAGGGTCATAAAACCTTTTGTTTGGTTATTGGGTAGGTCCCTCTAGTGGGTCAAATTGGTATGCGTCGAGAGTATCGACACATTTATCTTAGGAGCAATATTGATTTAATATTACTCATAAGATATAATAAGAATTTTAATCAAAATCTGTAGTCAAATTTTGTTTATACAAAGAACAGAAATTTTTCCAGAAAAAAATAATAGTTGCCATAGCGACTTTGTTAGGAACATATTTTTGCTACGAGAGTTGAACTTCATATAGAGTTCGTTCACATCTGTTGGCAGGTAAACATCCCCCATCCAAAGTACTCAAAAAATATGACGTCAACGAATACATTTAGACCGATCGCTCTATATTCTATATGAATTCATTTTTGATACATATTTTTTGTAAAGTATTTTCAAACAAATTTGGAATATTATAACAACAAATGCAAATTATTTAGATTATAATAAAAATAAATAGTAAAAACTTATTTATAAACCTTTTTATAGTTTTTNAACAATTCGATTTGAAATAATATTTTTGTAGACTAACCTCAAAGTATTATCTGGAAAACTTCAAGTTATAGTCTGAAACATCTACGGTCATATAATGGATATATAAGTATAAATTGTTAATATAACATATCTTTGTAATTCGCTAAACTGACAGACATTTCAGTCTTCCAAATAAATATGATCCTAACAGTACATAGATTCGAACAAAATTTGATTTATATGTTCCATTTTTGATATTATGTCACTCAGAAATGCTTTATCTTTACGACGATAAAGCAATTTAAAAAGTTTATATTTCAGTAATATATATAAAAACCATTGAAACTAAAATTAGAAAGTAATGAGCTATTTAAATTTTGCTTAATATTCAATACAAATTATATTCTTTCATACTACTTATTCATTTTAACATCTGCATTTCTGCAGTTTTCTCCAATTCTATACAAAAGATAATTATTACACAAATTGTGTACATAGAGACAGAATTAATGATTTATACGAAGCAACTGATATTGTATAAAAATGAATAAGTTTCAAATAAAAATAGCATGACAATAATTAAATACAAGTCAAGAAGAATAACAGAGTTATAAGAATAAAAGATCATAAGAGGTTGTTAAACAAATTAATAATTAAAAAATGTATTCACTGAATCGTACATAATGTCATTGTGTATTTTTAAATAAGAAGTCAAATAAGTGTGCATAATATGTTGAAACAATTTACGATCGTTAATATGATTATTCATAATTTTTTTTTAATTTATATACTGCATAGAAATATAACGGTAACTTCCGTACTGTATATGAAGATTTTATATCCAAATTGGTCAATTATAATTAATAAATAAGATTTAATATGATAATAAAGTAAATTTTTATTATATACAAAAAAATTGTAATGAAAATCTCATATAAAAATTGCTATAAATTTAGAATAAAAAAATTAAAGCAACTATAATAACAGTAAATGTTTATAGGATATTAAAATGATTATAATTTCTAATTAGGAAAGAAAATCTAATATAATCTGCTTCTCTCGAAAAGATAGTGAAATTGCAAACATTAGAAAGACATATATTTCTAAGAAAATAAAGTTTTAAGAAAAAAATAAAGATATGATATTTTAAAAGTTAAAATCCGAGTTATTTGAAAGTTATTTATATTGAAGCGTGATTTTTATACTAGTTTTTTAAGTAAAAAAATTTCCTGACAAGAAACTAATTGAGCCAAAGGCTTAAGAAAACTTATAAAAGTATTTTGTTTTGTGTTTCTCAAAGCTGTCATGTAACATCATTAAAACTTATATATCTTTTCTTTTTTCTGCGATGTTTTAATAACTACTTTACGTAATTGACTCGAAAATAAGTTTGCATTATTTTCTATAATAAAACTTTTCGTTTATTATCTAAAATCTTAAATATAAATTTTAAATTTAAGACTTTTAAAGTAAATATATGTGATTAAATGGAAGTTTAATTAATGAATTTAGATACTTGTATATGAAGTTTGATATACCGTGTATATACATTAAATATATAAACATATACATATGTATAGTTTCGGTTAGAAAGTGGCTATAGAATTTAGTATATTATACTGTACACTAACTTTTCTGTTAGTTACATCATTTATATAGTGTAACTAACATATATATGTTAGTTACAATGTATATATGTGTATTTAGGGGAGACCGAGGCAACTTCGGCATGCGGGGCAAGTTTGTCAAGCGCTTTTTTTAAAAAAACAAATTAAAAGGAGACTTTGGTTATAGGTTAGGCAGTTGAGTTTTATTGGTGGCTTGTTGAGTGTAGTGTTTTTATTGTTCTCCAACAAGCGTAGTTGAATTATCAAGCAAATTTTCATTTTCGTTCAATTCCATATAATATTTTTTTTCCATTTATATTGAATTGGCAGGTTTTGTTATAATTCCATGATAACGAAAGTTACTTTTCCT